TTTGGCTTCCACTCTAGTCTGATAAAACTCTAGGCACTGCAACAGAGCTGCAATGAATAGCCTTGTGTAGTCAACTCTGCTTCTGCAATGCCCCTTTACCCTCCAGGTTATCACATAAGAGAAATAAACCCCAATGAAATAAAACACTATTGAAAATCCTCTGCCTCTTCTTGAACTTTCTAAGAGGTGCTAGAAAAGACCCTGTTGCATCTTTATCAAAATTACAGTGAGAGGAATGGCTAAAGTAAACAGGAATCTTTGCTTTGGTTGTCATTTTATTGTTTGTGCCTTTTTTGCATGAGAAGACAGTACAGAGACTTGTGTGACTTCTACTGGTCACAGGTGGGCTTGCTGTTTTTCCTAGCCTACAGATGCTACTTCTTTTTACCTTCCTCTGATCCTATTGTGACTCTGAGCAGTTCATGGCACGACCAGCCAGACCTGCAATTTCTGACAATCATGAAAAAAATTTAAAAGTGGACAAATGTTATGATCCCAGCATTAATGGGCTCTGAATTTCACTCATAATAAGTAGGAGTAGGAACAAATAGCAACCAGCCATGCAATGCTACAGAGACTAGAGGAATTCAGAAATAAATAGAAGCCAAATTGATGCCAAATATCCTTTGTCCAAAAAGGAAGTGGTGGTCCCTGGATGGATGAGGGCCAAGCCATCCCCAGAATGTAGATGTCACAGAGTTGGAATGCAGCTGTCTAGTTCAGCACAGTTTCAAACTGGAAAAAGAAGAGAAGGAACACTGTGCTAAGAGTGACTGCAAGGCAGTTTAGAGGAGGAAATGCAGTCAGTTGTAAATCTGGCTGGAAGACAGGGATGAAATGGCTCTGTGTCTGCAGAGACTGCCACAGGATCCATAGGGACAGAGACCCATTAGGGACCATATAGAGTTTGTCACCATATAGAAATGAAGTGAAGAAATGCACACATCGTTACTCGCAGCCACAAAATTCAGTGATTTAGATGAGAAAATATTTACCTGGAAAACTAATAGCAACACACGAATGTGTAAGTGTGTTTTCTTACACTAAACAAATAATTTTTACTGAAGATTTGATTCATCATTTTATCAGTGATCAGGGTTAAAATCTTACCTCTTTCCCAGGTCACCTTTCCTTATTCTTTCTTTAAGTTTTAAAGTTGCTGACGTGATATTGTGTGCAGAGATTGGAAATTACAGAACCACATTTCTTCAATTTTTATAAGAACATGGCACAGCTTTACAATAAAGGTTACTTTTTATCATCTGTCTGCTAAACTGCAGAAGAGGTAATGAGGACTGTCAAAAAAAAAAAATCTGATTTCCCCCATTCTCAACAACAGTTTGTTACACATCCTTTTCTAGCATGAAATAATTCTGTGAAAAATAAAGCAGGCATGAATCTTATTTGGGTTACAGAAAGGTCTGAATCATTTATAACTGAATTAATTGCTAGAAAGGCTTATGAGCAGCCAATTAGTAATATTTGTATTTGGATCTGCCAGTTGGCCCAGAACTGAAAATGAGTATTAGTTTTGACATAAAGACTGTAGTGTTCACAGATAAAAAAACATTCAATCAAAATCAAGAATATCCTTGAGAATTACTGCCTTGAATGGAAAATGCCTGATAACAGGCCAGATAAATCTGTTAACTCAAACTGCCTAAGACATTTCCCAACTACTGATTCAAAAACTGATTTTGTATTGCTCATATGACATCCTGAAGCCCTGATCATTTTTTTCTCCTTCTATAAAGTCCTGAAAAAGTGGGAGGAAAAAATGATGCCACACATGAAACCTGCCAACAAGCTGTTAATCTGTGTCCATGACATTTCCACAGGACTTTAGAGGACTTTATTTTCCCCACTTGGTGTTCCACTTTTCCACAAACAGTAAACAAATTTAAAACTATTTTGGATTACCTTGAGAACTGAAAATAAATTCTGCAAATGACAAAGTAACAAAAGCAATGCCTCTGATGTCCCTCAGAAGCATCCTGTGAAAGATTAGCAAGGTTACAAGATGGAAACATGGGCTGGGATGTGCCTAGAACAGGTGGCTTCCAGGGGAACAACATCACTGTTATTTTTCTTCCCTCCACACCCTCTTCTCAAGCAGAATGGAGCCCTGCAGAACCAGGGAAATTCTGGTGGGACCAGAGGAAATTCTGAGCTGCTTCTGTGGCTGAGCAAAGACTGATCCCTGGGAACCCCAGATTTGCTTTGACTCATCATGCTCTGACCATCCTGGTCTGACAAGACTCCGCCCAAAATTAAATATGAGAAGAGAAATCAAATCCAAGGGAAATAATATGCATTGAAAAAACAGTTCTGTACAATCAGAAATGTGTAAGAGACATCGGGCAAACATCTCTTACAAGTTATCCTGGTCAGAATCTGTATTTTCTGAGTTATGGCAAATTCTAAATTTCTCACTTAATAAAAAAGTAATTGCATAATATGCCAAGGCACAGTTCTGGCCTGTCCTCAGGCACTCACACTCCTGGATTGTGTGCTTTTACTCTTTGCTTGAATGATTTTTAACAGTTTTCTCTAATATTAATGTTTTCTATATTCCTTACTACAGACTCTGGTCTCTTTTGGGTTACAAACTTTAGGAGAATTTTCATAGCCAAAGGATTTTCTCAGAATTTCAAAGTAACTTATTTTGCCCATGAAGAATGCATTCACATTTTCCTGAAGTAAATTACAATAACTTTCTATATAATTAGAATATAACCTATTTTGTACCAGAGAGAAATTCTGGAAAACAAAAAGAGTAGAACATTGTGTAATGCTTAGAGGAGTATTTGAAAGCTTTTAAGCTAAGCATCATTTAAAACAGATTTTAATTAAGGATTTTCCTTTTTTATTACATATTAAGGTCTCTAAGAGCATAACTTCCATAAATAGTCAAGAATAAACTACATTCAGACCTACATATAAGAACATTTCTTGGCACAGACAAATGAAATCTGTGATTGCTGACATCTCTTTGAAGGAAGATTTTTTTTTTTTCATCCCAGCCCTTGTTTTATTTATATGGCTCTGCACACTTTTTTATTTTTAATTATGCTAAGGAAAAGAAGGAGTGGAGGGAAACAGATCTTTGTATTCCAACTGAGACAGTGAAATGCATTCCAAAGCTGCTTTTGTTTTTAATTTACAGAAGCCCTCATGTCTAATCTACTAAGCCAACAAATAATCTGTTTGCCAGGTTTTACATGAGAGTCGTGAAAAGTGCATACAGTTGCTGACTTTATTCTTTTTTAGGATACAGATTCATTCTCTGCCATAAACTTGAAAAGATCCTTTTGCAGAACTTTCCACAATGAATTTATTTTTAACTATGAATTTTGTTTCCCAGGAGGTATTTCATTCTTACCAACTTGAATATCTTTTGCTCTATTTCTTAATAACAACAAAATTATTTTGTTGCCTTATCTGAAAGAAAAAATAGCAAACCCTGTGCCCTTGTTCACAAAAGCAGATGTTTAAAAGCAAAAAAAACAGTATTGAGAAATATGTTCCCCTCTGAAAATAAAAGAGGTACAGAGCAGATGACCACTCCCACATATTTCCATACATAGAAAAGAAATACTTTTACATCCTTCAGTTCTTTCAGAATAACCCTATAGCCTACATGTCCTAATACTGAAGGGACATTCCAGTATTTAAAAACTTTATGTGTATCCTGAGAGCCACCAAAACATTGCAGGACAACAACAAAAAACTGTAGTGTCCCTGCACCTCTGTAAATGCCTTCTGGCAAGACAGAAACAGTGTTTTGCAGTGAGATTTTTGGATGGTGCGTACTACAGTGAGGAAATTTCTTTTTGAGTGGAGCAGTGCACCACCACATTTGAATTACCTCCCTCTTCTCCATTAGGGTACATCTCCTGCACTCGACAACTCTAAATCTGGCACAGTTGTATGAATGAACTTGAAGAGTGCAAAGAACATTACTGAACCCACTGCCAGTCCCCCAAAACTGAGTTTTGTTGGGATTTTCACAGGCAAGGCCAGGGCTCAGAATGTGCTGTGTTCCTCCAGAGATCCTCCCTCTCCTTCTCTCAGAGAATGGCAATGTGGCTTTAGTAAAGAAAATTAACAAAAAATTACACTCCTGTAGATGGCTGAAGTAAAGAAAATTTTAAAAGAGCAAGGAATCTTCAAATAGAAATAAAACAATGACTGGCACCTTCTTGATACACTACACATGTGAGTAAAAATTTGAAAAAAAGTGCAGAAGAATTAATAACCATTTAATAGTAACATCTTACACCTATGTTGCTTGTAAATACATGTAAGAAGAATGTTCAGAGTCCCAGTCCTTGGGAAGCAGTCAGTAACTTACAACATTTAGAAAAAAACTTATCCATGCCTACCAGCTGTAGGTAAAAGGCTTTGGCCTCAGCTCTTACTGCAGAATTGTTGGCATTCTTAAAGTCAGAAAAAATGAAATTTTAGATATTTCTTTAAATTTCATCAAAGTTACACTAATAAAAAGAGCTTCACATATAGTGCTGATTTTAGATGCATTGCAGATTATCCATTTATTTGTATGGCCGTGAATTCTCATTTCATTCAAGGGGTTTTTTTATCCAATACCTTTCATCTACTTCTTTCATGTTGAGTTCTGTATTACTGTACAAGTCAGCCTGCTCTTGGGCTAGTCAGAATATAAGGAGATTATATGTGCTAGTGAATCCAGAATTCAGATTTTCATCATTTTACTTAAACCACCATCACAGAAATACATTTTCAAATTTTGTTAACAAATATCCTGAGAATAAATAATCCCAAAATTCAGAATCATTTTTTCTTAATTTATGCTCACAATTCACTTTTACTTGAATAGATTTATAATCTGTATTCACTAGTTCCTTCTTGCAGAACCATCAGAGCCCCTTCATAAAGGAACTCCATTTTAAAACCTCCACCTCTCAAACACCTTCCTCATCTCTCTCAGCTGAAACAAGGTGATACAAATTCCTCCTCAGCCCCACGTTTTCAATATGAAGAAAAACCACTCTTCAAAGTAATTTGCACCTAGGACAGCATGGAGTCAGGATGTGAGCTTGGGCACCCACCTCATTTACTCTGTGTAGTTTGCCTCCATAACAGAGCAACCTCAAACAACGCTCATGGCTCTGGAATAACAAGAAATGGGGAAAAATTCTCTCAGTGAAGAAGAACCATGGTGCAGGGAGAGACAAATATTAATTTAACACGAACAAGTCAAATTCATGGCACTGCCTCCATTCCTAAGAAGTGCTGTTACTGAGAGAACTTGTATTGTCCCACAGTTCCCTGTAATGCAGATTATTACACCTTTCTGCCAATGTGCAGTAAAAATTACATGATTATAGAAATTTTTGAAGAAAAAAAAAAGTTTTCTATCACACGTTGCCATTGATGATGCATTTGACTGTGTTCAGCAGCTCCTAGCCAACATTTATAGCCAAAGAATTTAGGAAAGTAATGCAGCCTCCCCCCCGCCCTCCTGCAGCTCCTGGTCAGACTGCTGTGCATTTCATTTAATTCTTTTTTTTTAATCTCCTTTCTTTACATACCCCTTGAGGCACATGTTCTCAAAAGTGAGAACCACTCAAATATAGTTTACGTTACCCCACAGAACACTATAAAAAGGCAAGAAAATTGTCAAGCAAGGTGACAAGATTCACACCAAAAATCATTTTTGTAAACTCTCAGAGATGTTGTCACAACAAACCCAGAGGAAAAATTTTACTTTCAATAATGGGGAAGGTGACAGGAGAGCAGAAAGAGAAAACAAAGACTCCCTCATGTGCTTGGGATGCTTTTCAGATCCTCAGTCTGTACTTAGGCTGCTAGATGATATTTGATCACCAGTCTCTATTGCCAGTGCAACTGTTCACTTCAATCCTGCATGCTCCTTGATGGGCTGGGTGCATTTTCACAGGTGCTATCATCACATTTTAACTGCAATAATCATGTTGGAGTTGTGCTCTTACTCTACTACACTGAGATATCCAGTGCTGATCAACACAGCACAACTGCCTGAAATCAAGCCTAGGGACTCCTTTCTTAAAATGTTTCTTAAATGTTTCTTTGTAGGAAATGATTATTCCCAAAATCTGATGAGAGGAAACATGATAAAAAAAAGAAAGTGCCCAAAAAAGTGGCAAATTCAGGCATGAACAGGCAACTGCAAACTACAATTAGCACAACTCAGAAATTTCCTCACTTAGGTGCTGACTTGCATTAATGGATCACAGTACACTTCTGATTCACTGCTACTGTAAAGAAAAGTAGATTATTTTAACCAAATTGCTAGTTTGAATCAAGGTATTCTAATATGGAATATCTCTTACCTTGGAATCACAGTTAGAACACACACACAGGTAATGAGCAGTAATTCCTCGAGCTGTGAAATCTCAGTTACTTGTTTGTCCCCCTTCTCTAAATTTCTACAGTATTTGTTGCAACCAGTACTGGACCATAATTTGCACTATCCTAAAAGCACTGACAGCTTTCCTATGTGCTTTACACAAATAAACAGTAATGTGATATCAAATTTCCACCACTAAGCTGGCACCCACAGCAGTCCCTGGGACTGGACCAACAGCAGGTCCTGCTTGATGAGACTAAGGGGCACAATCCTGTGTCTGTGCTCAGGCTCAGCCTCCCCAGCTGTCCAGACCTATTTGACCCCAGGCACCAACCAGGAATTCCTCCCTCCTTGTGCACCAAATTCCCTTTGCAAAGAAAATCCAGGTGCATGAGGGGGCTGAGCCTTCTAGAACACAAATATAGCCAGCAGTATATTGAAAAAAACTAGGCAATGTACTCAAGGTTTTCAGGTTTTTTAACAAATATGAGAGATTGCCAGCTCAGGATGAAAACTAACACACAGAGTCATAGAATGGCTTAGGTTGGAAGGGTTCTTGAAGACCCCATATTTTCACCTCACTGTCATGGCAGGGACACTTTTCTCTATCCCAGGCTGCTCAGAGCCCCATCCAGCCTGGCCTTGAACACCTCCAGGGATGAGCCATCCACAGCTTCTCTGGGCAATCTCTTCCAGTGTCTCACCACCCACACAGCAAAGCATTAATTCTTAATACCTAATCTAATCTACTTTCTTTCCATTTTAAACCTTTTGCCCCTTGTCCTGTCACTACATGCCCTTGTAGAAAGTCCCTCTCCATATTTTCTCTAGGTTTCCTTAAGGTACTGGAAGGCCATATTTATTTTTTTTAAAACCTTTTGTCAACTCTTCACTCAGGATAATTTTCCTTATCTCAGATCAGAGTTTAACACTTTAATTGATCACACTTTTACCATACTTAGAAATACAGATGTTATTTTCCTGGGTTTTGTTTTAGAAACAAGTTCTTGACATACTTGTCTAAGAGCTTTCTTCCTAGCAATTCAAAAATTTACAGCAGCTTGAAATTATGTTTCAGCTACAGAATTTAGAGCCTGTGGACAGTGGCAAGACAAACTCTTTCATTCTGCTCTCACTTGCTGTTTACCCTTCCATGTTTTCATATGCTGGTTTCTGCCCTGAAAGCTACAATGCAAAAGACTCTTCTGAGAAACTCATGATTCTGCACAAGCTGTCAAATGTTCACCATCACCAGCAAAAGGTTACTGGATACCCTAATCACCTATGAAAAAACTCATCCTGATTGAGCCAAAGAGCTGTCCTGTCTTGTACTGAAACCACCAAACTCTAAGTAGGAGCAAAATGTTATGAATTATCACACTGGGTAGCATGAAAGGGCCTAGAAATTAAGCGAGGCAGATACTTTATAACACATCAGAAGGCAAACAGTGTAAGCTAAATGAGATAAACTGAAGAATTAGTCAGGCTCTCACAAATATTTTCCTAATTTTAAAATCAGATTGGCTTCTGCTTTTTAAATGTATGAAAGTTTTAGGGGCATGATGCTCTGTGATACTTAATGAGAAGCCAAGTCTTTTTTTAGCTCAGATAAGAATGGCACTGCTGTGCAACCACTTTGTGGCCCATGTGAAAGCATTAAGCAAGGCACAGAGAAATCAGTCTTCCCATTTTTTTGCACACCATTCTCATCAACAAAAGCATCTGGAGCTAGTCTGGTACTAAAATATGCTAATAGGGAGATCACACCGCCTACGTAGCACTAACAAAGTAGTTCTGTATCACATTTGTTTCAGAGCCGACAAAAAAAAAAGGACCAGAAAAAGAAAGACAACCAAAAAAAAAAAAAAAAAAAAAGAAACAAAGTCACCCAAAAAACTAAAATCCAAACCCCACAAAAACCACCCCCACACTTAAATTCCTCCTCCTTCACCCTTAGTTATCAGCCACCGCCTTGTCAGTGGTGCCATTACAATTGCTTGGTGGAGATCTTGATCTTGGTAGAGATCTAGAGATCTGAAGAGATCTTGCTTAAAACAACTGGATTGAGACAGAAGTGGGACATTTGCTTTGTTTGCTTTTTTTCACTGAGGACCAACCCAATTTTTAGCACGGTCACACAAAGGTGCCTTGGCACAGCTTTGCTAAGGGCAAATCCTCCCTGGCCAGTCTGGCGGCCACCTGTGCTGGGGTGATGACAACAGAGGACAAGGGGAGGCAGACTGACATCACCTACCCAGACTTCTGAAAGGCCTTTGACACAGCCACACACAGCATCCTTATCTCAGACTGGAGAGACACGGATGAATAGATACATGGTAGAATATATATTGGTAGAATATATATTGGCTGGATGGATGCAGAGAGTTGTGGTCAATGGCTCTGTGTTGAGGTAGAGGCCAGTGACAAGTGATGGCCCCCAGGGTTTTGTCTTGGAGCTCTCAAATATCATTTTCATTGAAGAGATGGAACACCTACTGCAGGCTGAGAGACCTGCTCAGCTGGATAAGAGGAAGGCTCCAGGATGCCCTTGCAGCAAGCTTCCAGCACCTAAAGGGAGGCTATTAAAAATAAAAAAAATACAGAACAGATGGACTTTTGAGAGGGGCATGTAGTCATAGGACAAGGGGGAATGGCTTTAAGCTGAAAGAGGAAAGCTTGGGATCAGATATTATAATGAAATTATTTTCCATGAGTGTAGGGAGGCATTGTAATAATTTGCCCAGAGAAGCTGTGGATGCCCCATCCCTGGCAGTGTTCAAGGCCAGGTTGGATGGGACTCTGAGAAACCTGGTCTGGTGAAAGGTGTCCCTGCCCACGGCACGGGGTTGGAACTGGATGATCTTTAAGGCCCTTTCCAGCACATGTACAAGGAATTGTATCACATTTTCTAGAGATAAATAAAAAATAGTTTATTCCTTTTCAGGACACCCAATATGAGGTAGCTTGATAAAAGAGGGCTGCCCAGGCTAGTTTTTCAGGACTCCAAGCAGACACTTGGACTGTCAAAAGTCAAATAGCCTAAATGCTAATGAAAGCAGCAAATACTGCCTTGTGTCCTGTAGTGAATTCCTGCTTTGCTGAGACTTGGGATGAAGACTACAGACCACGTGGTCAGAACTGAAAGGTGTAAAATTAAACACCCTCATAACCAAGTACTTAGTATTTAGTGCCCCTGAATGCTAACTTCAGGACCTGTTTCCAAGTGTACCTTAGTGATGACACCCTGAAGCTCTTGCAGGGGGTGGGTGTGGGAGTGTGTGCGTACATGAGTATGGAGTGAGGATGTGTAGAGTGTATTTTCCAGCCCCTCACATATTCATACACCACCGGCTTGAGAAACAGAACCTGAATAGTAACCAAAGGCTCAGTATATTCAGTGGAGAATAAAGGCTGCATGTTCAAATAGGCACTAACGTGAGTGGGTTGGTCAAATTTTCCCTACAGTTGTTTTATTCTGGGAACCTCACAATGGAGAAAAGAATTCTTTTGATATTCACATTTCAAAGAGCACACTTTTGTGAATATTTTCAAAAGAAGATGATAGCAGTACTGATTTCTATAGACTGTGTATAAACCAACACATGCATATGCACAAACATACATGCACATACATATGTATATGTAGAACTATCTGTAACAGAAGAAGAGATCCTTTCATTTTGCCTTTTGTGCTGCTCACTCCAGGAATCTACCCTTGATCTTGGCAGAACTGATAGTTTATAATGAATACTTCTCCAGCTTTCATGGCTGGCATCAAGG